TTCTGCGCTCGAACCGATAGAGATTGCATTCGGCCTGTACGCAATGGGAGAGCTCCGTAGCAGGAATGGATCCGGGAACGAATTTAACCCAGAATACGACTCCTTGAAAAACCGTGACTTCCTCGTAGGCGAGCTTCGCTTGCCTGAGGCATCTGCGAAATGTGCTCTTCAGCCTCACGAGAGCGGTCGCATGACAGGTCGCGAGCGTCGTAAGATGTCTGCTTGCCGGAGCTCTGCTTCCGCTCTGGAGCACATCTTGTTCCACCAAGGCCGCCCTGTTTTCGGCGAAGTCAGAAGGGCGCACTCTCTCAGGATAGCCGTGAGGAGGTTATTCAGCTCGTCGACTCCCATGTCTGTAAGGCCCGGGCAGGCGTGAGCTGACATCAGACTGAGCTTACACACGTCTAAGGTTCTGGACGGTGGGCGCGGTCGCTCACGGTGAGAGCGTTTAGGCTCTATCCGGATCTGCAGAGCAACCGGGATGTCCCATGTCAGCTTTGCTCCCTCTCGGAGCCCGTGATTCTCTCCTAGGTAATGTACAGCGGCAGGCGGGACATTCACGGCGAATATATAGATCGTTGATTGGCCCATAGGACCAACGAAGGTGGGTGGGTCGGGCAGCGTCACGATCCAAAAACTGAAGTCGTGGAGTTGTCCTCCGCTAACTTCGTCTTCCAGCCTCGTAGCTTGCTGCTGTGCAGCACCATCACTCCACCACTCGGTCGACCGACGCCGCTTGGGCATACTGCTGGGCAACAGACCGTGTAGAAGCCCGGACTTCGGATTGGGTCGGCCGACCAGACTTCAGTCACTACACTAGCGTCAATTTTAACGAAGGTAGCTGGGTCGAGGAGAAGCATGCATGAGGTGAGAGATTTGCAGTTCCACAGAACGAGTGTCAGTTTCTCCGGGTTTTCCCCGGCGTCTTCTTTCGCTAGATCCGGCGGGGCGCTAGATCCGGCGGGGGGAAAGAAGAGCTCGTTTCGCGGCTTCGGCCAGGTGGGCGCCCTTTGCCTCCGCCCGCCGGCTGCCCGCCACGGCGCTGTGGCTTCTGGGAGGGATCCGCAAATCCGACGCGGTGTCCTGCTTGTTGATAATTCCGTCCCGGCTGACGAGACCGGAGCTGCCGGGGTCTGCTGACGACGGCGGGAGGATTCACGGGCCTCGGGAAGATCGACTCGGCCGCAATGCTGCGAATGCCGCTTCGTCTCGAAATCTGTCGCTGCTGGGATGCTCCCGCGGGCGGGGCCACCTTTTGCTTCAGCGGTTTCGGTTCCGTTCCTTAAGAAGCGGCTGCTTTTCGGGCCATTGTTTTCGAGCCAGCCTCGGCGACCTCGGGATTGCCATAGCTGATCTCGCCTCGACAAATCATCTGACGATGAATGACCGTCAGATCTAGCGTCTGAACTCCGGAAAACTCTTGAGAGCTGATCAGTTTCTCGTTCACTTCCCTGCACTCTTCGTTGAAGTGTGGGATCGTGACCATTGAGAAAGAAACGTTATCACGTCCGTAATTCGCCTCGTTCACCCAGGCCTGGGCTCCTTGTAAAAGTTGGTCTTCCTCGAAGTTTAGGCATCCATTGTGCCCGCAGTGAGACATGATATGGACTTCTTGATGATTGTTCTTGAGGAATTCGAGCACTTCCTTTGTGACATTCAGAATGGAAGCGTTCGCCAGCTGTTTGAACACCTCCGAACTCTTCCGTGGGAGCTGGCTCAGGATCTTCAGTCTGACCTGTCGTAGCCATTTGTCTCCCACGATGAAGACAGACTTCGAAGGTATGGGCCGTGGTTTTGTGATGCTGTCACAAAGTCTACGGACGCCTCCGTGTCTTGCTTAACGGGTACTTCCTCGGTCGAAGTCAGCTGTTGATGTTTGAGCTTTCGCTTCAGGTCGACCAGCTCGGACCTCAGCTTTCGAGACTCGAGTGCCGGCCTGACCACGCACTTCCAAAGAGCCTCTTCGAGCTTATTGAGTTCCAAGGCTCTCAGGAATTCCTGATCTGGAATCCCGGCGAGATCCAGTGAACACAGCCTGCATTTCTACGTAGAACCGGGATTCCTATAGGCAGCGCTCCAGGAGTTTGCTTCTGGCCTCCGGGCTCACTGCATTCGAGCTGAGAATATCCTTCGACTCATCCGGGGGAGTTGGAGAGTCTGACGAAGGCCACCGCGGCAGTGAGGTCCTCTTCTATTGGACCGCAAGATTGCCACCCGTCTTAAATTTGTGTTATGTCTAGAGTCCGATCTTACAAATTCACTCTGGGTCCATTTGAGTAAGCGATGAGCATACAGGTATATGAAGTCGAGGGCCCGGGTCACTTCGAATAGCGGAACCGTCGGTGTGGAGGGCTGTTCTCCCACGACTAATCTTTTTGCTCTCTTCCGAAGTTTTATGAGCTGATCGAGCGTCCTAAGATATATAAGCCTAAGGAGCGGAACCATAAATCTCAAATGGGACTCTACGAGCGCCAAGTAGATCGATTTTGTTCCGAGTCGGCGAAGTCTTTGCGCAACCGCAGCTCCCGCACGGACCCATCAACTGTCTTTGCCAGATTAAGATTAAACATCCTGCAGGATCAGACCGAGATACTCACATGAATGGACTCTATGAGTCACACCCAGCCCTCGTACTGTGTTGGTCGTGGCTTCTGATCCTGGAGGGGGAAATGTCACTTGATCTGATGCATGCTTTTTCGAAGAGCATCGATTCGGTTTTTTGCATGCCCATGACCAATAACTTGTAGCCATCTAATTTGCTTTCCCCGAGATAACGTCGAAGGCTTTGTCATACAATCCGAGTATGTTCCTGCCCCTTACCAGCACGACCGTATCATCAGCAGAGGAAATTATTTTGGCTAATGTCGAGCTGCGCGAGATCATTGTCCTGAATGAGGAATAAGCGAGGGCCGAGAATGGACCCCTGAGGAACTTCCCAACTCGCATGCGCGACAGAGCTCCTTCCTCCATCCGTGATGGGGGCCTAACCTCGATAGCCAAGTGTTACTGTTTCTACTGACTGAAATCATGGGCGGCGCATTTTCTGACAATTCTACTTGTACGCCGCAAAGGCTACATTCGCCATCAAATGTCGCGTGTGTACGCTTCAACGGATGAGTCATGGGACCGGCAACTGCTGTGCGTGCGGAGCGTAGAGAGACCATTTCCTTCAACCTTGAAAGGTATAGAAACATGAAATTTTCTTCCCACTTCTTTCTATTATTGCTGTTTGAGATCATTTCGATCTCAAATTCCTGCCGAGTCGTACGACTCAACAGTGAAGGGAACTCTCTCAAGGAACAATCAGGATCGCTCCCTTCCGAGTGTACGGACAGCGTGAGCTCAGCCTCCGCTTAAGAGCGGTTCACAAACATTTTGCGATCGCGAACGACAATGCTATCGGCCAGGCGCTTTTCAATGAGTCGCTTCGACACCCCGATACCCCGATTTTTCAAGCCGCCGCTTCAGCGGAGTTCCGGAGCGGCCTCTCCAATAAACACTAAACAGTCGAATCATCTCGAATGCTCCGACATAATCGCTCCCGCTCGAATAGATACAAATCCAAGCCAAAATCCTGGGCTTCTCCGACCTCTGGAGGCATCCTCATTCCACGCTGTTTCGTTTCCTCGAGAATTTGCTTGGATTTACTCTCACTGGCTTGACTCTTGACCCTGTTCTATCCGAAATCTGTGAGACTTTGATCATCCTCCGCGCTCTGTCAAGACCTTCGGCATAAAACTTCACTGAAGCTCCCGGCAGGTAGGAGAGGGGAGCAGCTCGCGGAAATACTGAATCCCAAGAAGGAAATGCATACAATCACACATAAGGCATGCTTCCACCGATTACTTGTAGGATCACGAAGGTCAGACGGACTCTCAACCGAGAGGATCGAGCACGGCTATGTAAATTCGATTGAACACCAACTACATGTATCAAAAATACTAGCGGGATTTGAGGTCATACTCAAATTGGCGAGTTTTGACGTCAATAGAATGACGTCGATGACTCGAAGGGGAAGGCTGAACGTGCAAGACGCCGATCGGGCTGAAACTTTGGTCATAGCATCCCGCCCGTAGGGAAGATAAGAGGTGTCCATAGTCTTTCCCAGTTTTCTCATAAAGTCAATGCTTGAGGGCGAAGTCTCGATAATCATTTAAACATTTTCAAGGTGGCCTTACGCGAATAACCTCTTAGGGTTGACTTTCTCTCGGGGCGAGGATTCTATGAACAGAGTTTCAGCCCGATCGACGGGTTACTTGTTCAGCACTCCCCTCCTTACATCAGATAAAATCAAGGTACACGCAATTCGAGCGAAGGCTAAAGGTATGTACTCGATGTCATTGCACTGCAGCCGTAGAGAGAACTAAGATTTTGAGGTTGGATGAGGAATAGACGTTTTCACGCGATATTACGGTAGTCGCGTCGACACTACCTGCGTCGAGTTTTTTCTTCTCTAATTCGTTTGCCGCTTCCCGCCGATGAGGAGACAATCCTCCCCCACACTGGGCCGCATGTCTATCTCCCCCTCGGGATTCGGCGTGACGGTGTAGAAAGGCTACTTGTCGACGTTCCAGCGTGACAGAGTGAGCGATCCGCTCGGTGATGTCGGCATCGAAACTTTGGCGGCTCTCCCGCCAGTTCAGTCGGCTGTTGTCATTGGAAATCGTCTGCTAGCTTCCACCACACCATCCATCGGAGAATCCTAGCGATCGGCGCTCCGCGAGGGCCGATCGCTCCTCCGAAATTCGCTCCGCGGTCTTGCACCTATTTCGGTCTTGTGAACGGGTCCCTCACCGCCGCTCTCACTACTTCTCCACTTGACAACGCTGACGACAGAGAGACCGACTACAAACAGTGCTCCTTCCTCCGGAACCTAGTAGTGTTGACGTATCCTTCCAGAGAGGGACAGGCGAAATCCGGAGATTTCTGCACCTCCGTATAAATTATTTATCGAGTGCAGGATTCGGAAAAAGATGAAGTAAATCATTAGACGGAGAATCATGTGGTTTGGACACTCAGTCGGCGCGTAAGTTCTGCGTGGCATTTATCTGGAACGCGAGGGGCTTCCAGGATGAAATTGATCCTCTCTCGTAGGAGTGAAGATCAACGGTCTAATGAATTTTCGTGCGTCTTTCAGCTGGCTGCTCGTGGCGTTTCTGCCCAACTCAGCTGACCCACAGATTCTCAGACCCACTCCCGCGCCGGAGGATCGTCTCCCAGCTTGCGCAGCGTGTCGTATGCTCGCCGATGAGTTCTTGCGAGGTTTAGAGAAGACTCAGAGGAGCAAATACGAGGGGGGAGATGCAGCCTATGAGAGAGAGCGTGGGATGCGTTATGAGGACTCGGAGGTACGGTTGATCGAAGCGCAGGAAGCCATGTGTGTCGAAAATAAGAAGCACTCGAATCAATGCAGGGACCTAAAGGAGGAGCACGAGTCGCTTCTCGAAGATTGGTACAACACCCGCCGGAAAGAAGACCCGAAATCTTTGTTCACCTTTCTCTGCGTCGAGCAGCTGCTGGTTTGCTGTCAGAAAGGCTACTTCGGCTTTGATTGTAGACCGTGTGCGGGAGGAGCCGAGCTCCCGTGTTCGGGACACGGTACCTGCAGGGGATCTGGGACGAGAAAGGGCAACGGGACCTGTAAATGTCACTCTGGATACCAGGGGGAAATCTGTAACCAGTGCTCGAAGGGCTTCTATTTTAATGGGACAACGAACGGCTGTGAAGCCTGCGACCAGTCGTGCGAAACGTGTCGCGAATGGGGTCCGAAGGGGTGCGTAGTCTGCAATGAAGGCTATAGCCACACTCAGGAATGGGGTTGCTCAGACATCGACGAATGCCTATTCGCCGACGACAGCCCATGTAAAGGGAACACGTTCTGCGTCAACTACGATGGCGGATTTCACTGCCTCGACTGCGATAGGACGTGCGACGGTTGCTACGCCGACGGACCTGAGAGCTGCATCAAATGCGCGACCGGCTTCGTGCTCGCGAAAGGTGTTTGCGTGCTGGCCAAACAAATCAACGTACAGCAAACGTTGACGAGATGGGCCGTCTACCTCGGGCTCGTCGTTTGTACAATGATCATCTCGAAGAAAAGCGTCACCCTATGCTCACTGATCGGACTGTGCGTGGCCATGTATATCGGGGCATCAGAATACACTACCGGCGCTTGGGATGACTTCAATTTCCAACAGTTCTTGAGAAGTTTCGCGGGCTGACATCCAACATTCCTTTAGCGATTCAAGGATCGAAAATAATTTATTTATCTAGGATAATTCATAATTTCTTTCCGGGATCGATGAAATTTTTATTTACTTGCGACCACCGGGACAGGAGAGAGAATAAATTCATTCGAACCTTTGTTGCATAGCCGTCCTTATCTACTCCCTTAGATGGGAGCTCATCGGAAACACTCGGAGAGAGCTGTGAACGATTCTCGTGCCATGTGTACAGGTTAACGGATTACATTCCCCAAGAAAATTAACGTCATGGTCATCTGGAGAGAGGATTTAATGTTTGCAACTTTTCCCCGTACACATGAAGATACATTTGTTCGCCATGACGGGCTGGTATCGGTCAGTAACAGTTCCATCATCCTTCATATGCTCCCTTTTAGCTGCTAGGAGCCTCTCCATTCCGGGATTATAGTCGCTCGGAGACCGACTTGACCAGAAACATCGTCTTGTCGACCGACAGCACGACGTCTTGCGCCACCATGTAACCCAACGGGGAATCAATGTTTTTTCCCGCGGTTCGATCATGAGATAAAGAAACAGCCAACGATACACGATGATCGGGCATCGTTTCCAACATCGAGCACATGGTTCTAAGGCTAGATGTCGATTATGACATACACTTCGTGGTGGTCCGGATCGTCCCAAACCTGCATGTTCGAGTAAGTTATAGCCTTGACTTCTGTCCCTTGCGGATGCTTCGCCAGATCGAACGTTTCCCCGAACGCGCGGCATTTGATGCTGAAAGTCTCCTGTGGATGACGCGAGGCCGATGATGAGTTCGATGCCGACAGCTTCCGGAATTCCGCATGAAAGCATCCGATATCATTTTCGTCTCAATCGTCTGGGCTCTGGATGCCTTACCTTGTTGAAATCAAGAATTTCTACTTTGCTGGCTATAAAGTTTGGCTCCACAGAGAAGGAATACAAGAACTCGTCCAGATAGTTGTAAAGAAGATTCAAGTTGTCCGAGCCAGACACCTCTAGGTCCATGTAACCCCTTTTCTCAACCTGAGAAGGAGAAAATCGTAGCAACCTCTTCAAAGTAGTAGTGTAGTGATGTAGTAGTGTTGTAATGTAGTGCCGTTTGAAGTACGGTATTCGGTTGTCTAACCTTGTCGATTTCAGTCATGTAGCCGAACATGGCCACCGCGACCTGCTCGAAGCTCTCTTTCAGGGTATCACCCCACGCGTGCAGTTGAACGTCAGCCGTATGGTCCAGGTACTCGTACTTCGTTTTCGGCATGTAAAGCTCCGTGGCTGTCAATTCACGTTCCACGAAGACACGCTCCTCGTCGCCTTCTGCTCCGCCGTCAGACATTTCCTCTTTTCTCGTTTGAGTGCCCTGCGACGAATGTCCATGAGGCTCGATTTTCGGAGACTATATAATTCAGCGGATGTCATTTACCAGCTTCCAGTCTTCTCTAGAGAATATCCGAGAGATCGGGTGCGATGCTCAGGATCAACAAACCGAGTTGCTCCGGACCGGAAAAAAGGAAGTCTTGAGAAAAAAGGGAACTCCCAAGTGGCTTGAGCCCTGGAGAAGAAGCGATTTTACGCCGCGCAGAACGTAATAAACTCAGGCTGGTCCTAAGATTCTACCGGTGGCGCGGTCACAATACCGAAAATCGATGGGAGAGGGAGCGGACGGACCCCTTCTCAATATTCGGGGAAAGAGGAACCGGAGGACCCGAGGCCCGGCATTGTCCTTGGAAGATGAGGAGCGATGAGAATTCCTCTAGGACGTGATCGAGCACCTGGAGCTTCCGCTCTGGAATGGAGCGTCATTCTCTAGTCGTCGTCCGCGCCACGGAGCCCGTGTACTGCTCCCACCCGTGCACTTATTTATCCGCCGCTTAATAAAAGTCGGAGTCACCACCGTCGGCGGTGTTGTTGGTGCTCTGACTGAGAAGAAAAAAGCTCCGGGCGCCTCGAGGGTCTCATTCCAGTCTCAAGAGTTTGATCCCGTACTAATCTACCCCGGAGCGGCGGAACTCAGCTCTGTTATTGATTATTGTGAATTGACAACCGTGGATAACATGGCTGACCAGGTGAGCAGAGAGCTTCCTAGTCGATTGACCGGTCTCCCAGCGCTTCATCCATCATGATGTTCTCCGCTAAAAAAAATCAGGTGTCGATTTCACTTTACCGAGAGCTGTGAAAGAGAACGAACCCGCGCGATACGAACATTTGCTCCCGCAGACAGGACTCGCACCTCTCGTTGCCGAACATTACAACAATCGAGAAGATGAGGGCAGAGAGGGTCGCAAAGAATCCAGGATTTTGCACCTCCGGAACTTCAACAACTGGGTCAAATCAATGCTCATCAGTGAGTAGAGCTCTTGTTTACTAGAACGATTCTCCTCTTGTTCGAAGGAGTTCGCCGGCTTCGGCGCGCCCTTGCAGGAAATGTAGGTTCTGCAGAGGTTCGTGCAGACGAAAATTCTTGCTCTAGAATCAATCACCCGCGCGACTTTGCAGAGGACTTCGTCAAGCGCGCCAAAGACAACCCGTATAAGATGCGGGGCCCCTTCCGAGTCTTAGACATCGGATCCGGAAAAGGCGGAGATCTCATGAAATGGCAAAAAGGAAACATTCAGCATCTCGTGAGCGCGGATATCGCCGAGGTTTCTCTCGAACAGGTAGACTGAGGCTTTGATTCCCCGACGGGCCCCGAATCCTTCTCGGAGGGAGCGCTCGCTTCCTTTCCTGTTCTGTGACCGATGACCGCTCCTCAGAGAGAGACTGCTGAGAATCCGCCCCTCGGGACCGGACTGCTTCAGTGACAAGCGGCTCCTTCCAGGCGAAAGACCGCTACATGGACAACAAGGCGAGAGCCGACAGACAGGGCCTCGATATTTTCGACGCAGACTTCATCGTCGCTGACTGTACAAGAGATCGTTTAGTTTCGAAATATGCGAAGCCCGACATCGTCTTCGACATTGTGTCTTGTCAGTTCACCTTCCATTATTGGTGGGTACATCTCGACACTATCCAACCAACTGACTCAATGGCCACCGTAGTCCCGTAAATCGAGTCTTCCATTCTCGTTTTTCAGTTTCGAGTCCCTGACGCAAGCGCGCTGCATGATACGAAATATAGCGGAGAGACTCCGCAAGGGAGGCTATTTCATCGGCACAACGCCGAACGCATACGAACTCATGTGAGTACAACCCGGGAGTGACGGGAGATTTGGAAAATCAATTTCTTCGAGAATCAAACCGCAGGGAGAATCGAAAAGCGAGGAGAGAGATTCGGGCGAAGAGTTTAATCGTTCCGGACGTGGGTGGAAATTCGAGGTTCTCCGAGGGCTTATCGAAGCTTCTCTTTATGCTTCCAGACGCCGTCTCAAGGAGTCGGACGATCTCAGTTTCGGTAACGATGTATACAGAGTCACCTTCGATTCGAAAGAAGAGTTCCCTCTGTTCGGATGCAAATACGATTTCCATCTGGAGGGCGTCGTCGATTGTCCGGAGTTCCTCGTGAACTTCGAGATGCTGAAAATCCTCGCGAAGGAGCACGGTCTACAGATTGTCAAATGCTGGACATTCGAGGAATTCTACAATGAATACAGGAACGAAGACGAAGGATCGTTTTTATTAACTAAAATGAATGCACTGGAAACGTATCCACCCGGGTACGGGACGCAACTCTCGGGGGAAGCGGACGATTACGCGCACGCACAAAAGGCTCACGAGCAGACGAAGAGACCTGTGGTGAGTAGCGAGTTTCTCTCCACTCCCTCTCGGTTCAGAATCCAGGAATTGCGCTCTAGACTTCCTTATACGGTGTCAGGGTGATCAGAATATCCGTCGCGAGGAGCGAATGATTACTCCCATCCGAGCATCACGCTCTCAGATGCGACTTGCTGCTGTGGCTTGAAAAAGTCTCGATTCGTTTCAGGGAACGTTATCGAAACCTGAGTGGGAAGCACTGACCATTTATGTCGCGTACGCTTTTGTTAAAGAATAAAAAATCGCCTGTTGAGCGCACTGATGAAGAGGAATGATCATTGTGTTGATTCGGATGAGGAGAAAGAGTTGTATTCCGCATTTCGAGTGGCTTAGATTACCTTATGCTCGGAAAACCTCGGTGATTAACAGTTCATTTCCTAGACCGCCCTGGGCGCCGGGTTCGATATCATTCAATCACGAAAGATCGGCTCAAAATGTCACAACCAGACGAACAAGGAGCCTCATCTGCGGAGCTTTCGTCCGAATCGACGTCTGAGCTGTCTGTTTCGTAATGACCCAAGCCGGGGAGGACACCGAGCACTTTCGGGGTATCGTCCCTCGCTGCTCTTGCCTTCTTGTTCTGTGCGTCATCACTGGCCGAATCCGTTTTGCGTTTGATTGCACCAGCGAGAAGAGATGCTTGCGACTTGGAACTCCCTCGACTCTGACTCGGTTTTTTCGTAGGATCGATTTTAATTTCTGGCTCGCCGACGGAGTGGACAAACTGCGAGCGCAGTTTGAAAGCCTCGAGTTCTTTCCGTTCCTCCTCACGTTCTCTGAGCTCGTTCTTCATACGAATCTGATCAACTTGCTCCAAGAATTCTACCTCCTCAGAGTCGAGACCCTTCACGAGGTGCTTGAGCTTCTTCGATTCTTCTTTTTCGGCTTCTTTGCGTAATCTGTTCTCCTCGAGTCTATCGTAGAGCGGTCTGAGATCTTGTACTTCTGGTTCAGGTGCGCTCTCCGGGTCCTCCGGCTTCCGCACTCGATCCCACTCTTCCTGACGCTTCTTCTTCGCCTCCTCAACTTCCGATTCTGTGACGAATTTACTGAGACCCACCGAAGACATGATCTGCAAAATGTTCCGGAAAAGCTGTCATCGCTCGGAAACGAATTGACACGGATATCTCGACGCGCGTACGAGAAGCATAGATACAGACAGAGAGAAAGTCGAGGGTCCGAGAACCTTCCTAGTCTCTGGCGCTTGGCTCGAGTGCGGAGGAGCTCACCGTATGAAGGCTGACACTCGATGTCTTTATAGCCCGTACCGACCGAACTTCTAGACCATGTAATCCACCAAACCTCACTGAACAGCGGACTGAGTCGCGAGTCGAGAACGCAGCGGTCTAGAGAGAAGATTTTCTGATTCGTCTCCGCATCCAATATGAATGCTCATCGGTGTGTAGAAACCTCCGTCCCAGACACGCCCGCATAAACATGCGCGTATCCTGCACAGATACCTCTCCGCCGGGAACCCCGACTCGGCAATCATTTGGCGGGCGGATGGCTACGGAATAGGGCAATAGCGGCGAGAATTACCGCTCGCAACTGAAGTCGAATCATCATGCACAAGAATGCTTCGGGCACCGCGCGTCGCGGGACATCACGAGCATGGCAAGGCCGGTGGCGCAGGAAGAGCCGCGAGTTTACCCGTGGAACGACTCGCGGCCCAAAGTCCGAACCCCAGAGATTCTCTCAGAGCGACGAGTTGTTGCACTCGGATACGAGACTGAACTGCCATAATTTACGAGGATTTCCACGCTTCACCTATGTAGATAAGACCATGTTCAAACGAAAAGGAGGGAGATTCATCGGACTTTTGTTCGAAAAACTAATCGGAGAGCTCCCCGCATACTCAAGAAGATCCTCGCCCCAGATGAGCAATGGGATAATTATACAACAGTAGGGAGAGCCAATCTGCGATATACACAGTTCTCAATGTCCCGTTCCCTCGATGGATGCATGGAGGTCAACTCGGAGTTGTCGTCGCTATCGAAGAGAGTCTCCTATCCTGCGGCCAAAATGTACTCGGAGATGTATGACCGCATCCGACAAGCTCAATCCGGACTCCGATGACGGCTTAAATCTCCTGCTGACTGAACTGTCGAGCAGTTTCGAGCCGCGCGGCGGTAGGGTACTGAAGAGCGCGTCTGCGACCGTCAGGAGCGACCCTGGATCTCGAAGTTACTTATAGACATAGTTCCCACACGCTATCCGCTTCCTCTCTAGGACGTACCCGGGTTGCCGTCACCAGGGAGGGCACAAATCCTTTCCGAAATCACCGTCCGACCGCCCCTCGATTTGCTCGTATTCTAGTCTCTCGCCGTCTTGAACTCGGCTCCAGAGTCAGAACTCTCCGCTGATGCGGTCTTCATCGAAACGGGTATCCGAAATGAACAATTTCCTCCGCGAGCGTATGGCAGCGTCAACGGCGTGGCGGCGGCAGAATAAATCTCGTCGATACGCCCTCCAACAACGAACGGTATTACCTCTACTTCGAATCCGAGGTCAATACTTCCTCGGGAGACGGTAGGGCCCGAATTTGAGTTTTACTCCGAACGGATCACAAGCGCGGAAAAAAGAAAGCTCAGGTGACCCTGTCGTCGTGAGACTTTTCCCGATCCTTAGAAGGGAACTTCTCGCTCGCGTGCGCCCAATTTTCCGCGGAACTTTCGTGAGTGGGTCCTTTCGGATGGTCCCCTAGAGATTGAGATAGTTCGGCTTTGTCAGTAGCGATGGAGCTTGTGCTATCTCATTTTTGGCGGCTGCAAATGCTTCTCATTCTAAATACTCACGCTATCACAAACCATTCTGTTGCAGTTTTCACCATATTGAGAATCGTGAACTAATGAGAGAATGACCTCTCCAGACCGCGACCGATGATTTCTAGCTCAAAGCACCCGGCTCAGGTCTGATTGTAAGTCATCCGAAAGTTCGACTGCATCTTATTAGCAGCGATTTCCTCTCCTATCTCTGTCATCGCCGCCATCGGACAAAGAAACACAGAAAACGAAAGTCTTCCTCAGAGAAGGTGGATTTATGGACAGGCAGCCCAGCGAGGATTTATTTGAATGGGTGTTCCGACTCCTAAGGTCCTTCGGAAATGTTCTGAACGCCCGGGTCGAACAGGCCTCGCGACCGATGTCCGCGACAGCGGCTTGAGGAAAAAATCAAGGCTTCCCTAGGATTCAAGAATGTCCGCTATCAGGACGCGCATACGTATCGAATGCATGCAGTTCGGAATGGCTGCACTCCATCTGCCTATTCCGGAGCCTCGACCGCAACAAGACGACGACGACAGGATCCGTCCTTTGTGGCGAGGCCGTACGCCGCCGCTCTCTTCGTCCACTGTTGGGAACAGAGAAGAAGAAGGGAGGTCAACCATACTCGACATAGTATGCCCCTTCAGCGCGGTGGAGGGCGGGGCTCTCGACAACGAAGAAAAACTGGCTCGAGAATGTGTCAGTGTTTCTTCGAAGTACGTGGAATCACTATGGAAACTTCGACGCGAGGACGACAAATCATGTCGAAGGAAAATGATATTCGAGTTTTTTGCCCGCGAGGAGGGACGGGTCTGTCCTCGGTTCGGAGAATCCGGGCTTCTGATAGTTCTGATAGGAGCGATACCGGAAGTTCAGGGAGAAGTTAGATCCGAGAGACACCGCGAATTTTTCCCGGCAGTGGGGGCGGAATTCGAGCTCAGGCCGGACAGGGTTTTCTCTCCACTTCCATGACGATCTGAAAATGCAGACGATACATCTGGATTCACTCGGAATCATCAGCATCGAATAAGATAGGAAACCAGTGTCAGCTACGGATAATCTCCGGAATCTTCTCCAAACGGAATCTTGCTCAAGCCAGTGTCCCCACAGCTGTTCGACTATGGTGTACCCAGATCCGAGCAATCAGCCGCGTGTAGATTGAAATTCATGATCCGGTCAAGCTTACCCCGGCCTTCAATGAGCTCCAGGCAGAGCTGAAAATAATCATTCCGAGAATGTCTGTATATGCCTCGATTATGAGGTTCGCATTGAAGCTATCGACGGGAGAGCCTCTATGTATACCTCGCCTGTGGTTGCTATAATTATAACTCTTCTTGCTACTACCACAGTAACGGCAGGAGAGGGTATCAGCGTTGTTGTTATTGCTTCCTCATAATGCTATCCCGATTCAACTTACTTCTGAATTGGGAACCTCCATCCCCCCGAAAGATCGGGGAATTGAACCCGGCACCTCCCGACGATGGCGGCGTCAACATAGCGCACGGCTGCATCCGTCGCACGCGCTAACCACTCGACCACCACGCGGGTTGGAAACATTGGCTGTCGTTGCTGTTGTTGTTGCTGAGGTTGTGGTTGTTGCTTTCATCGTGTTCATCCTTGTCGTCGTCGTCGTTTCTGTTGCTTCTGCCGCTATTGTCGTTGTTACTCCAGCTGCTGCTGCAGGATCTCAGCGCAGAGCTTGGCGGAGCTGGCACAAACCTCGGCAGGTGCAGAAGTTATGGTTATGGTTATAATTGATCCTTGGATTCTTGAGGCAATATTTTTGGCGACTCGACGAGCTTCAAACCATGGACGTACATAGATGCCCAAAATTACAATCATCTCAGGAATATTTCCATCTGAATGTATCAATGAGAGTCGCACGAGTGACGGAAGAGGGACAAGACACCTGGGTTGACTCAGGAGGAGCGTTGAGTATTCCTAATTCCTTTTCGTCTTGAAACGGTTTTGCGAACTCCGAGAGGTTCTATGTAGGTAAAGTTCGAGGGAGAGGGGGATTCGGCGTCAGATGAGTCGGAACTGGGGCGAATTCGGATCGCAGGACGATGAGACGCCGGTCACTCCGCGATCGAAATGAATACTGATCTCGGTGAGAAATTTTGATTCCGGTTCGGAAATGAGCCAAACCAAAGTTCGTTGGAAATTCATTCAGAGGTCACGAAGATCAATGAAGGATCGCCCAGGATCGCTCCTCGACGTGCCCCGCTCTCGTTCCCATTTCGTTCTTTGTAACTGATGTTATCCAGGGATTTCTGATAGTTACGGGTGATTCGGTTCACACAAGATTCCGGCTTCTTCGAGGCTCTCTCGTCGAAACACGAGTGCACAATGACGCTCCTCTGAGATTTTGTTCGATCTCTTCGACTGACCCCTCTCTTGTAACATCTTCCCTGCATGCTGATCCCGCCTTCCGAGAGGAGAATGTTCCCACAGAGGACTCGAAATTCGTTCGGTAAACGAAACTTGTTCCGTTTTTCTGGGAAGAAATGCACGAAAACCTCACCGCCATGCAAATATTGAGCCATCCTTACCTCCCCTCGCAATCGCTTCCCGATAATGCCGCGGCTGTGAGTCGTGAGCCAATAGGCGCAGTACGCGTTTACAGAAAGAACCCGAACGAGAATGAAATCATCGGAACCTGAGGAAGGACGCAGCGGTGGATAAATTGTGGAGTGCCTATCTTCCCTTTCCCCGTTAGGTATGCATTTCCTCTCGGGATTTCCTCTCTCAGTGTCCATAGTCGCAGCCGCGAGCCACGGTCGCAGCCGAAAGCCGCGGCCCAGAACGCTGGTAAAATAATATGAATTATAATTATTCGACATAACCGCTTGTGAAACTCGTGAGAATATTTTGAGCTCATGGAGTGTTGTGAACGATCAACTTTGGTTTTATTATTAGAGAATATTTATAAAATTTATTCGGTTTTAGCGCATATACTTTGTGTACAATGACAGCACCACACTAGCCGACATCCGGCAGACCGTCCCTATGTGGTAACGAGCCGATGACGGCTGCGGAATTGCCCCTTTGCACCTCGATTGCCAAGCGTTGGAAGAGATATTCGGTGGCTCTGGAGTCGCCCGTCTCCGCTGATATTCGTTTGCCCAAGTCTCTCAGGAATGATTCCGTTGATTCTCCGAAAACGCCCAGAGTCTCAATCGCGACCGGCTGAACGTGATAGCGGCTCTCAAGGCCCCGGTACTCGGGCAGTTTCCTCCTCGATTAGAGAATTAAATAAGGTAATATAAATTAAGAGTGGATTGTGAAGGATGGATCGAACAAGAAGATTGGTTCGAACGATAACGCTTCCATCGCATCGGGAGAGCTTGAGCAACGTTGATCGCCACTTGCGAAGAACTCTACGGCTGGCTTTGAGAACGGCCCCGATTCTCCGGGGCTTGACGACCGGGGGTTGACGCTTGACGTTGAAACGTCGTTCCACCTGAAATTCCTCTGATCCTAACGGTAAAATTGATATTCCGAGTAGCTTCCGCCGCAAAGTTCACAAAGACAGTCCTCGTTTGGAGTGTGTGCGCTTGATGCTCGGCAGATCTTGAAGTGCGAACCGTGGATTGCTCCTCTGGTATGCCTCGATTATGAGGTGTTCTTTGAACGTATCGGCAGGAG